GAACAAAGGATATCTTGCTGATATCTTGCGTGCCTTCCAACCTGAGGGTCTCATTTTCCAGTACTATATCTGACAATCCACCACTTGTCTGTCAGTTTGTTGCATGTGGTAGCTTGCATGTTGCTATGATGCTGGAAGCTATGCCACCAGTATGTTGAATGTAAGCAGGTTCACTCATGGTGGACAAGTTTTAGCTGAGCTTCCAAACTAAGACAGACTCAGAGGAAGGAGAGGCAGATTTTTCCAAATATTGAATATTGAAACGTGATGAATAATACCAGAATGTTGTCAGATATTGTGCCAGAAAATGAGGCCCTCAGGTTGGAAGGCACTTAAAATAAGACTGGGGAAGAACTGCCTCCTCAAAGGAGAGTTGACCGTGATGGTGTGAATGAAGGGACCTTCATCTGCTGATAGGACACAGCTCAAAATGAGGTGAAACAACTGTAAACATCCATTGTTGTTGTTGTTATGTGCCAAGGAGTCAGTTCCAACTCATAGCAACCCTGTACAGGGTTTCTGAGGCTATAAATCTTTATAGGAGCGGAAAGCCTTATCTTTTTCACACGGAACAGATGGTAGTTTTGAACTGCTGACCTTGAGGTTTGTAGCCCGATTTGTAACCATTACGCTACCAGAGCTCCATCCATTAATAATTGGAAAATGGACTGTATGAAGTGTGACCCTAGGAAAATTGGAAGTTGTTAAAAAATGATGGATGGCTACTACAAGAATAAGCAAGTTATTTGCTGGAAAGATATCAAGGCAACCAATTAAGTCACTTCAGACCACCCCCACCCCCACCCCAGCCCACCCTGACTGAAACGCAAAGGGAACACATGAGCAAGCATATAAGCTTGCTGGCAAACACACTGGTGTTCTGGTGAGTGGAAGAGGGGGAAAAGCAGCAATGAAGAAATGGGCTGAGTTCACCCATGCTCCATAGACTCTAATTGACCTGGAGATGAGAGAGAGAAGAGGAAGAGCTGGTTGGTCCAAAGTGTGGTGAGACCTGGGGACTCCTGAGCCTATGGAACAAGGACATAGCCATGAGCCCATGGAACAAGGACATAACCATGGAGGGCTAGGGCTGAGAGTGAAGTGTTCAGCTGATACGAAGTGAAGGGAGATGCACAAGAACACCCAGACTTGCAGATAGTATCCATTTGACCTAGCCTCAATGGCTTGATAATTAGAACTTGACTAGAGGAAGATAAAATCAACAACAACAATTTTTGATAAAGGAAACGAGGGTAAATTGCTACAATTTGATGAACTTGACCTATACTCATGGATATGGTAGCTCAAAATACCAACAGAAATGGAAGGAGTCTTCAAATCAAGTATCAATCATATCCCCTCTGTATACAGGGTAGATAGGGACAGGCAATTTAGACATTGGCTACCTAAAATGAGGGGGCAATAAAGGCACTAAGTGACTGGCTTACAACTTTTCAAGAGGAAGTTTAGTTTAAGAGTGTGTGGGGGAAGATACAGTCCCAACTGAATAGTTGTCTAGACAGGTCTGGTGAAAAGAGATGCAGATAAGATTCTTATGATTCAATAGTGAGTAATTGTTATCATGACTAATTGCAACTGTCACAACTGTAAAAGTAGAAGTTTTGTAACAAAAACGGGGGAGTAGTTAATCTTACAGTCCAGAAACAGAGGACCCTAGGACCACC